GAAATATCAAATCAACATCCTGTCGTGTCATCAAAATATCATATTGAACAGTTTTATCCGGTTTTGTACGGATACGCAACCTTTCGCGATCTTCCAGCGATGGTTCCTCGACGTGGCAGCGACAGAGAGAGAACCTCCAGAGCCTGCGACCATTCTCTTGTCGGTCGCCGTCACAGTCAAAAGGTGTCATTTTTGTATTGAGGAGGACCGATGCTTGCGGAATTGAGCAGCGTCGTGAGATCGTGGGAAGATAAGGGCACAAGGGAACCCTTGAGACCTGCCTTGAGACCACCGTTTCGTCGAGCGTAGTACTAGTTGCACTTTTTTATGTGTTGAGATTGATATCATCGAGACGACTGGGGCAGTGTACTAGAGTGGTCCCTGTCCATTCGTGACGGTCCAGCGGTGGAGACACTCCGTACAACCCAGCGACCGAAAAACGCGCTCTTCAAGCCTCCACCGGGATGCATCGCAAGAACGCCATCGAGACCTCGCGCCGCACTACGCTCTCGAGCCGAGAGTCTGGAACCCCGCGCAGCTGGCGGCCGACCTCTGGGCCATCGACCTGAACGACGTACAGGTGGTGTCGCCGCTCACCTCGGCGTTGCGGACGACAAGCAGGTCACGCAGCACGAAGGCCTCTGAGAAACGGGCGTTGTGCAGCAAGAGGAACCACCGCGACGGCTTGTCATACATCACTTGTTGCTTCATTATCGAGGTGTATTACATGCTGTTTTCGTTGAGGCCCACCGTGTACACGAGGGCGAGGCGGCCATACGACGCTTGGTTGCTCCAGCCGCCGTACATGGCACGCAGGTGCAGCGAGACTTGGTTGCCCGGCGTCAAGAGCAAGCGGAGCACCGCAGGGTCCGTGACGTACTGCAGATGGTGGCGGTAGCTGCCCGACGCGCGCAAATTGCGACAGGCCTCGCGACGCGGCAGCAGCAGCGTTCCATCGGGCGCCGAGACCTGAAACTCGGCCCAGCTGTAGCAGCGGTTGTACGAGCCGTTGAGCTCTGGCGCGTCCGTGGCCCAGCCCTGGTCATGCGACGTGCACTCGATAACGAGCGCCGTGCAGCGCAGCAGCTCGAGTGCCGGATCGTCCATCGTGGGCACGGTGAGGCGCAAGTACTCGGCGTCGGCCGGCGCGTACTCGTACTGCTCGGCCGTCGTTTCGGCCTCAAACACAAGCACGGACCCAGACGCGTCGAGGATCGTGTTGGCCACCGCCACTGGAAGACCACGCGACACGAGGAGCGCGCCAGCCTGGAGGGTATCGCGGGGCGTCGTCGTGCTGCGCGTGGGCATGGTGGCGGCGACGGCCGGCGTGAGCTCGTGGACGTCGGCCAAGTTGGCCGGATTGATGAGCCAGATAGTGTCGACGGGCGCGGCTGCCGGCGCCTCCACGGGCGGCTCGTCGACGTGCGTAACGTCAAAGATGGGCGACGCACCCGGCGTCGGAAGGTACTGCGACTGCATGGGAATCTGCCAAATGAAGCACCCTCGTGGCAAGGCTGGAAACACGCAACGGGGTTTAACGTGCGTGTGTTGAAGCATATCCGGATACTGACACTATACCTCATTTAATTACGTTGAATAAACCTAGATGTCCGGATATGGGCCTCTTCAACCTCATTTTGCTCGTTAAACCTCTACAACGCATGTTTCGCAGGGATCGCGCAGTCCCATTCCATGGCTCAGTCCCAGGCGCAAAACACCGTTAAGTCACCTCGCACAAGCTTTCATAAAAGCTACTAACTAACTGAGAGGACCATTCCAAGGAGCTAATCGAGGGCTCGTAGTACTTGCCCTGTTGTCAATTGTATACAGCTTGTGGCGTGCGCATTAACGATTGAACGACAGACTTGAAACAAGCTATGGACTACTCACTAGCTCACATCAGTGCACATGCAGACGATGCCGGGGCGTCGACAGTAAAAGGCGGTCGGTTTAACGTCGCCGCGGCGAGGACGGACCGGGCGTCGACGTCTTCGCGCAAGGCCACCGACGCGACTACCGAGATGCGAGCGTACTGAATATGGTTGCTCCAGCCACCGTACTGTGCGCGCAGGCGCAGCGCAATCGAGGTACCGGGCGCGACAAGCGATAGCACGTCGTCCGCTGTGACGTACGTGAGGTGCCGGCGGTAGTGCTCGCACGCCCGCAAGTTGGCGCAGGACGTCCGAACGAGGTCGTGGCCCAGCACATTTTGCACGTGGTACTCGATCCAGCTGTGGCAGCCCACGTACGAGTTGTTGAGCTCTCGCGCATCCGAGGCCCACCCTTGGTCGCGCGAGACAGTCTCGAGGATGACGGCGACGGGGCGAAGGATCTCGAGGCCATCGCAGTCCATCGCTGGCACGTCTAGCCGCAAGCACTCCAAGTTGAGCGGCGCACGCCCATAGAGCGTCGCGTCGGACTCTTCTCGGCACTCGAGGACGGCGCCGGCGGTGTCGAGGATGGCGTTGACGAGGTCGACGGGCAGGCCCCACAGCACGAGGAGGCAGCCAATCTCGAGGATCTCGGGCGCACTCTGGAGGTTGTTGAGATGCATCCGGGCCGTCAGCGCTGGCGCCAGCGGCTCGACTCGAGACACATCGTCGGCGTCGACGAGCCAAATTGGCAGCGACCGCGGCTCGCCGCGAAACATCAGATTTTGCAATAAAACACTAAACCAGGTGTTTGACTTAAGTCGTAAATAGTGTATGTTGAAGTTCCTGAGTGATGGATCTTGAAGGGACACAACGGAGAAGGCCGTCGTTCGTGGTGCATCGGCGGAAGGCATCCACGATATACGATGTACATCCACGATATTCGATAAGAACCAGATCATTCCGTCAATTGGTTGAGGCGCTGCGATGGTGGCGGGCGAATCTTCGTGCTGGGTCGCTCGATATCTGCAAGTAATTCGTACATGAGATACATGCTCGTTCAACTCAAAGATCTTATTGAACAAACCGAAGCTCGTCGATGCACTCCTATGGATTCTCGAGCATGGCCACACACGTATAACCCTGTTGAAGGATCTTTCGTACAATCAGGGATGGTATGCGAATCTTACATCGCCATCTTGTGGATACCTCCTGGGGTAACCGATGGAAACGAGCTTACTGATACTTACGTAGCTCTCGTGACGCATCTCACAGTGCATCTTGGCGTCGACACCGCCATCAACAACGACCAAAGAGGCTATCACGCAAATATTGTTTTCTATCGTTGACGTGTGGCCATTTCATGTTTCGCCTCGAATGACCACCAGCAACATCCGCGCTAACTCGATGGTCGCGCTCGTCATCGATGGGACGCCCGTGACGATGACGTGGCACGCTCACCGCCACCAACGCGTGCGACAACGACAGCTGCGCGTCCGTCGGTCTCGAGCGTCGACAGCCTTTGGCTTTTATTTGGCGGCTGCATGGTGCTACTCATGATTCTCGGCTTTGCGCCTCTTGAGGTCGGCTGCGTCCATGTCAAGAACACCGAGCACATCATCTTCCGCAGCATGATGGATCTCTGTATGACGGGCATGACGTTCTACGCGTTTCGGAACCGCTTTGCATTTCTCGACGGCAACACCTTCATTGGCACGACTGGCTTCTTCCTCCAAGGAGATGACTTTGCGACGAGCGATCCGATTCCAAGGGCCACAGGTGCGACGACTGGTTCTTCCAATCGACCATCACCGCCGTGTGCGCCACAATCTTCTCGGGGGCTCTCGCTAAGCGCATCATGTATCGCCCTACTCGTCTCTCGTCGGCGCATTCGTCTACCCGATTGCCGCGCTCTGGATTTGGTCGACCACGGGCTCAGCAAGTGTCACAAACGGTATCGAGCCTTGGCGTTGGCGCGATCGACTTTGCCGGGTGCGCGGTCATCCACGTGGTTGGCGGCGCATCGGTTCACGACGCGACTCGCCTGCAGCAACGGTACTTCAAAGTCGATTCGATTGCGTTGTTGGGCGTGGACCCCGACACCATCACGCTCGCGCCACCACGATCGTATCCAGACGCAAGGCGTCAACACTCTCGCGTCATCCCAAGTTACCAGACTTTGAAAAGACCTGAAGTAGTACAGCCGATGTGTTAAAAGTCCGCTGCGAGTGCCGTGAAGCTTGCAGTGGCCTCTTGAACAGACAGGAAGGGGCACATGGTTTGGGTATAGCCATTCTGCGATCGGTGGATCGGTCCGGGGTATCAACTTGATACCATTGCACTAGCTCGCCCAAGACACGACACCGTGCTCGCTGGAATCGAACTCGCCTACGAACCAACGTTGAGGAGGCGAGTTGGTCGTGGACAAGACATCTTTCCTGCAGCTAAAGACGAAACAACCTTCAAAAATAGCGTCGACAACATGTTGACGCGCGAGCGGGTGATCCCGGCCGCTCAGAGCGCGGCGCACTTGATACCACCACAGTACGTTGCACTGCTCGAGGTCGACGGGAAGCAACCCAAGCGTCTCGAGAAGGTGCGCGCGACCTCCTTATCTTTTGTCCACGCAGCATGTGACGTAGGTGTTTGACCGGCTCCTGCATCAGCGGTCGCTGGCGTCGCGTGTGCACGCGTACACAAACTGCTTTGTGGATGTCGAGATGGAGCGCACGTACCAAATCTGGAGTGTCGCGTACTATGTGCGCACGGCCCGCATCGTCTCGAGCTGCGTCCTCGCCTTCCACCTCGTGCTCGCACTTCTCGACAGCCTTCTCTTTAGGTACATGCATCCGAACGATCGTCAATTGGCATCATTGCTCCATGCGAAATGCCCGTAGTCACTCGAGCTACTTGGTGAAATACGGCAAAACCGAGATCTTTCAATGGTGCTACATCGTGCTGATTTTGCCGTTGCTGGCGACCGCGTCGCCGCGCTGTCAGCATCCTCGGTACGTCGTTTACGTCCGGCACTGGAAGGTACCATTGGAGTACACTGCGCAAGAGGGCTTGAAGCCGTGGCTAGTGGATCGTATCCATTGCCATGACGCTGCTTGCCGCCGGGCTCATGGTGCGAGCAGGCTGCATCTACGACGCCAAGCTCAGCCACGTCGCGACAGAGTACTAGACAGCATCCCCGTCTCGTCAAAAAAAACACAGTCAATAGGTTTCGGGCAGCCTTACCAAGTTCGCTCGAGTAGGCTCTCATCTCCACGAGTTTGCAACGATCATGGTGGTTGAAGTAGACTCGACGCCACGCTAACCCTGGCGCTCAGCAGCAACGACGATCTTGTGATCGCAAGCGACGCCATCATCATCTTCCTCGCGCAGGTAATTCAAGGATTCGAGTCGTGGATGAACTTCTTGTTTCTTGTCTAGACGGTCGTCGCCGCAACCCACTGCGACCTCGTGCACCTTGGCGTCATCTACACTGGCTCTCTCTTGGCCATGCTCATTAACGTCTTTTACTGGAACATCAACGCCCACGGCGAGGTCGGCAACGCTTTCGTATCGGGTTGACTGCTCAAGCAACTGTAGACCTATGTGTTGCTCTGTGCCAGCGGCGTCATCTGCCTCGTGCTCGTGCGTGAGCTCGACAAGTCGCACCGAAGGAGCTTTTACCAGTATTACACCTCGGAAGTGACCAACGAAGTGCTGCGCGAGTCCCTCGATCAGGTGAAACGTCATGCGCTTCCTCTTGACAGAGCACTACGTAGATGCTTGAGCTCGTCGTCTTTGACGAGTACAAGGCCGAAGAAAAGGCCGTGGTGGAGAAGCACTTGAACGCGCAGTCGGCATTCCAGGAGCGGCTCCAGGTATTACGATGTATATCCTCGTCGGTCCATTCTTGTGACGCAACTAGTAGCCGTACCGCATTCCGTTCGAGCACCTCTCGCTGCAGCGCGTGATTGGGAAAGGCGGGTTTGGGGAGGTCATTCTCGCCGACTACTTTGGAACGCACGTCGTGCTCAAGCGCATGCACCGGCACAAGATCTCGGACGCCGCGATATCCGAGTTTGCAGCCGAGATCCTTCTCATGTGCGACCTCCGGCACCCCAACGTGGTGCAGTTCATCGGTGCCAGCTGGAACACGTATTCGGTACTTGTCTCTTTTAAAATGGACATGTTGTCCATTCTCGACTAGAACATTGGCTTTGTACTCGAGTACGTCGGCCACGGCGACTTGTACCTCGTCATCCACGACAAGCGCATCGCCAAGTCGTGGAGTGACCCGTTCCATCGGTTCCTTTTCTTCTTCGTATCTTGCATGTGTCGTCATCGATCGAGTCTAGGATTGCAGTCGACGCGGCGCGCGGCATTTGTTATTTGCACAGCAAATCGCTTCTCCACCGCGACCTCAAGAGCACCAACGTACTCATTAGCGCCACGTACTCGGCCAAGGTACGAATGTCCTCCTCCACCTTTGCTATCTCGACGAAATCCGTGAGATTTGTGATTTGGGCATGACCAAGTCCATGTCGGAGCTCCAAACGACCGAAAAACAGGTCGGCACGCCGCTCTGGACGGCCCCTGAGGTCGTGCTCGGAGGCCATTTTAGCCCCAAGTCGGACGTCTTTGCGTTCGGTATAGAGTACTTGATACACTGAAACAATCCGAACACGACGACGCGTAGGCATCATTCTCTGCGAGCTCCTGACGCGACGAACGCCGTACCATGAGAAGCGCGGCAGCTCACCGTACAACGTACCTTGATACTTTGATACTTTGCACCTTGGAGCTGTCGGCGAGACATGTCGCATTGGTGGTAGATCATGCTGGCGGTCGCCAATGACGGCTTGCGACCGACACTGCCCACGTGGCTGCCTGGTCCGCTGCGGCACCTCGTCGATGTGCGTCTCTCTTCGTCCATGCCGCCGAGGAAACAATATATGGGCTAGTCGTGTCTCGCTGCAGCGCCTGAGGACCGACCAGTGATGCTGGACGTCCTCTCGTCGCTCCAAGCAAATGGCATGCACCAGCTCCAGGCCGGCGACCAGTGGGCCAAGGTCCAACACCTCGGTACGCCTCGCTGGTTTCCAAGTTCTTAGCATGGTAGCAGTACACGAGCACGCCCACCGCACGACGAGCTTCTCGGTTGAGCTCGTGGGCCGGGCCCGCGACCAAGCGGCACTCGAAGCCTACACCAAGGCCACGGCGCTGCACTCGTCCGACGACTCGGAGAACGATGCCACCACCCGGACACCAGGTCTTGGCACGGAGCTCGCCAGTGCGATCGAGACGGCTGTCGTGACATGGGGTTAACTTATTGCTTCCTTCTCTACGAACAGACCAGCGTTGCGCACTCCCATCACATTTTGGTGTCGCAACTCCTTTACGTGTGCTTAAAGCATCGCTCTATGGAGGACGGTGCCCTTAGACAATACCAGCGTCGTCGTCGTCCTCCATCGTCGCCGTTCGAGCTTCGAGCTGCGCATTCCACATCTGCGCGTACCGGCCGCCCTTGCGCGCCATGAGCTCGTCGTGCGTCCCGATCTCTAGCACCGCGCCCTTTCCGAGCACGACAATCTGGGAGGCGTGGCGCACCTACATTTGTCGTCTGATTCGCATATGCTACCAGAATTTGGCGTGTACCGTCGACAAGCGGTGGGCAATCACTAGCATGGTGCGGTTCGTCTGGAGCTTGGTGAGCGCGCTCTGGATCTCCGTCTCCGTGACGGTATCGAGCGCCGACGTGGCTTCGTCCAGAATCACAAACTGCGGGTCTTTCAGCAGCGTGCGGGCAATAGCCACGCGCTGCTTCTCGCCACCCGAGAGCTTGAGGCCGCGCTCGCCGACCGGCGTCTGCCATTGCTGCGGCATGCCCATGATGAAATCATAAATCTTAGCCTTCTTGGCCGCCTCTTCGACCTACCACCGTGGGTTGGAGGTGTCGACAATCGACAATAAAGTAAGTACCTGGGCAAACGTGCTCTCGAGGTTGCCGTACTGGATGTTGTACAGAATCGTCTCGTTGAAGAGGACCGTGTCCTGGGGCACGATCCCAATCGCCTTGCGCAGCGACAGCTGCGTCACGGCCGAGACGTCTTGGTTGTGCACGAGCACGCGCCCACTCGTCGTGTCGTAAAAGCGGAAGAGCAGCCGCGAAATGGTCGTTTTGCCCGAGCCTGTCTCGCCCACAAGCGCCGTCGTCGTCCCTATGCATATATCAATGAGTCTCTTCCGTGCATTTCAGTCGATAGTCTAGACCGGCGGGAATGACAAAGTTGAGGTCCTTGAGACCGCTGCCGAGCGGCGCATCTGGGTAGTCGAAATGCACATGCTGAAACTCGACCGAGATGCCGTTGCGGTGCGCGTCATAGTCGAGCAGGAGCTTGGGCGCGTGCGGCGCGTCGACAATGTCCGGGTCGACGTTAAGGAGCTCGCTGAGCTTTTGCATGTCGACAATGGCCTACAAAAAAACCCTTTCAAAACGAGCCGAGGATCCATGTCCGTACGTTGATCATCATGTTGTAGAGGGACCCGAGAAAGTAAAGCGGCGAAAAGAGGTTCTGGAGGTACACTGTGATGGCGACGAACGCACCGAGGTCGACGCCGCGGCCGTCCTGCTCGATCACATGCGGGATTGCGAGCGCGAGGCAGGCAAGAATCGTGGCTTGGATGATGCCCGTTTGGCTAATGTTGAGCACGGACAACGACGCTTGGACGCTGACGCTGAAACTTTGATACTTTTGGATCGCGCACGAGTAGAGGTCGATCTCGTGCTTCTCGTTGGTAAAGTACTTGATGGTCTCGTAGTTGATGAGCGCGTCGGTGGCTACGTGAACGGGCGTGTTTTTAGCCGCCACGTCGTGATCAATTGATTCAAAAAAGTACCCTTGTCGTGGTACTCGTTGTCGTGCTTGGTCGACTGCTGCCGAAACTTCTTGCGCCACAGCGTGATCGCGATCGTCACGTACGCGTAAAACACCAAACTCAAAAACGAGACGTACGACATGGTCGCGAGCTGGAAGTGCGTCGCAAAGATGATCATGACCACGACGCTAGTCAACGCATCATGTCATTGTACAATATTGTCATCGATAGAAAAGACATACCTCTCGAGGATCGTTGGCAAGAGGTAGAGGAACATGTACGAGACGACGCTGTTGGCCGACTCGACGCCGCGGTCCATCGAGCGCAGCACGTCGCCCAGTTTCTAGTGGCAGCCTAAGGACTCTACACTATCAAGTTGATAGTTTTCACCTTTTTCAAATGCCAGTCGAGCGAAAGCGAGTGCAAGTGTTCGTACGTCATGGTGGAAATCTCCACGTAAGCGGTCTGCTTGACGCGGAGGTACACGATCGACTTGACCTCGTCGAGCGTCTTGGAGAAGAAGACGCTGGTGCAGTAGCACGAGACGCCAATGAGCGCGCCGCGCACGTCTTTGGCGACGAGAGCGTTTGTTGCTTGGGCCATAAACATGGGCGCGTACAAGTTGAGGAGCTTCGAGCCGCCGAGGAGGAAGTACGTGCTCACAGCGCGGACGCGGTGGCCAAAGCCGTGCGGCCAAAAGTACGGGCGCAGCACGAGCAGCATCTTGACGAACGAGATACCTTTCGTCGGCGTCGCATCTGCAGGCGAGGACGAGCTCTCGAGGTCGACGACGACGGCCGCGGCCTCGCGCGCCTGGCGCACCTTCTTCGCGTGCACTTGGTACAGAAGCACGCCTTCAAAGACGGAAAACATGAGCGGGAGGATGATAAAGATGTTGGCGCGATCCAAGCCGTTGGCGAGAAGCGTCGCCTGCGGCAGCGCGTCGAGCGCAAAGGCGTCCGTGCCCAGGACAACGACGAGCCCGAGGACCGCGATCTCGGCGAGGTAGACAAACCACTTGGAGAAGAGCCCGAGCAGAATGAGCAGCACCTTGGCGGCCGTCGCCAGAATGGGCAGCTGTTCGTAGCGCCATGCGGGCGCGCCCGTCGCCGCAAAGGCGGTGAGCGTCAACGACGACATTTGCGAGAGCAGCACAAGCACATCGAGCACCATGACGACGAGGAGGAAGTTGGCCATCCAGCCGAGGCGCGTCTTGGTCGAGGACATCGGGCCCTGCTTGCGCCAGATGGAGCGGTGGGCGATCTTGCGCGCGGCCGGCGACGGCAGCAGCGGCGCCTTCTCGTTGCTCATGACGACGGTGCGAATTCCGATTTGCGGATCGCAGCCAGGTTCGAAGTCGAAGCACTCCAAGCGAAGTTCGAATTTAGAACACCCAATCCGAAGACGACGTTGCGATCCGACTTCGGGAGCGACGATTCGCACCTGCGCCGCCTTGCTACTCACGTCAACGGCAACACGCCGTCGTACAGTGTACCCGGGTCATTGCATGTGACGTGCGCTGCAGCGAAGTCGCAGGCGATCGCGTGGGGGAGCTAATTTACGACCAAGGCCCTCCTTGTTTGTTTTGTTTTTTGCTGCGGCATTTATGCATCGACATGACCAACGATTCATGAGGCGTCTCCTTGGCTTGAGACGTCACTGAGTACGAGCCTTGCAAGCTAATACGAGACAGTTGAAGCAGGCGTGGCAATCGTGTGCGCAAGACGGGCCATGAAGCAGCCACCGTAGCGATCGTACTACGAGATGTAGCAAGTGCCTCCGGACTTTCGGGCTAGCGTCGCGGCCTTGATGGCCAATGACTCGGGCGTTCGTCAAAGCTGGCAAAGCTGTCGAGTCACTTGCCGTCAAGGCCGCGAATGGTCCCACGGATTGGTGGCCGAGACGTTGAAGCGTGGAATGTGACGGGAAAAGCCGACAGGCCCTTCGATACGTCCGACGACAGCGTTATCAGCTCCAGGAAGACTACACGTGGTTTAGAGGGTGTGTCTACTTGTTAGTTAGTTAATCATCATCGTTACTCGTGCGTGACCGCAATCTCCTTTTTGGATTTGAGGAGCGCGAGCGCCGCCTTCTTCTTTTCTTGGCGCAGCTTGCGGTGGTCGGACGCCAGCAGCCGCGGCTTCCCGTCCGTCGTCTTCTTGGCCTTCTTGGCCGCCGGCTTTTCGTCGTCCGAGCTGTCGAACGCCGCGCCCATGTCGATCGGGGCCGTCACCGGCACCTTGGTCACGATCGCCTTGGCCTTGGGTGCCTCCTTCTTTACGGCCACTTCCTTCTTGACGACCTTCTTGACGATCGCTTCCTTCTTCGCCGGGGCATCCTTCTTCGCCGGGGTTTCCTTCTTTGCCGGGGCGTCCTTCTTGATAGGCTTGGCAGCGTCCTTGGTCGTCTTGGCACCGCCAGAGCTCGATGCGATCTCAGCCTCCTTGGCCATCCGGGCGCTCTTGGCCTGCTCGTACTTGAGGAGCGCGTCGTCTTCGGCCTGGAAGAGGACTTCGAGCTCCTCTTGCGGCGTCAGCTCGTCGCGCTTGCGCTTCTTCGTGTCGGTCGTCGCGACCTCGGTCGGGAGCCTTTCATGGAGGAACATGCACGACTTGCCGCGGTGGCACTTGCCGTTTTGGAAGGCAAAGCAGACGCGGGGCTTGGTCGGGTCGACCTCGGTCTTGACGACTTGCTTTTCCGGAGCATCGTCCTTCTCGTCTTCGTCGTCGCTTGCAAACTTGTCGGCCTCCTTCTCCTTCGGGCCGTGGAGAAACTTGCAGGCATCGCCGCGCTTGCACTTGCCCTGCTGCGCGAACTCAAAGCACGAGCCGTACTCGCCGTCCTTGACCTCGTGCGGGTACTTGCACGCATCGCCCTTCTCGCAAAGGCCCTTCTGGAACGCCCAGCAGACGCCCGTCTTGGGCTTGTCGGTCTTGGCCGCCTCGGGCTCGCGGTCCGCCTTGGGAATGACATCGCGCACCGTGAGCACGCGGCCGTCGACCGTCGACTGGTGCATGTGCTTGATGGCCTTGTTCTTGGCCGCGGCGCCTGCGTACGTGACAAAGCCAAAGCCGCGCGACTCGCCCTTGTCGTTCTTGACGACCTTGGCCTCAGCGACCGTGCCGTAGAGGCCAAACATATCAGAGAGCGCGGCGTCATCGAGCGTCTTGGCGATACCGACGACGATGACCTTGTTCTGGTCGTTGGAGCGGGCTTTGAACGGCATCGTAATGGGGCCGCGCGCTTGGAATATGACCAATTCGGCAATATGGCTGGCGCTTTTGATTGGTGCGCACGCCTCCAAAGCGATTCGATCGGATGATTGCTGCCAAGCAGCCAATCACAGCGCTTGCGCATGGCAAACTTCGATTCAAACTTCGATTGAGCATATAAAACCTTTGATACATATCGACGGCAATTAACTGATCTTTTGCGACACGTGTGGCTATTGTACCGTGTTGCCAGCGGTAGGACGACGGTTCGCCGGCAACGGTCGCATGCGACGCATGGTAGCATGGCTGTGTTTAAGCGTGCGTCCTTGACAGTCGACGTGGCCTCTACGACGTGAACTTGAGATCGTCGCCGGCACGGATCACGTCGCTTCGACCGTGCACCAATCAAATCCGACGATTTGAACAAAACGAGCGATGATTGGCTAGGATCCCAGGTGATCACCAGCGCATCCACGGATCCTTGTGCGTTGACATAACGAGTTGCGCAAGCGTTCGCATTCGTTCGGTCGCTCTCTTGTTCTTATTGCGATATGGCAACCGAGAAGCCGCCTGTGTACTACTGCCTCGGCGGCGTCTCGGCCATGACCGCGGCCTGCTTCACGCACCCCTTTGACCTGCTCAAGGTGCGTCTCCAGACCTCCAAGGAAGCGCACCTCTCGCTCTTTGGCACGATCAAGAGCATCACGAAAACAGAGGGCCTGCGCGGCTTTTACCGAGGCATCTCGGGCGGCCTCATGCGCGAAGGCTCGTACTCGACCGTGCGCTTTGGCGTGTACCAGTACCTCAAGGATGCCGCGATCGAGCGCAACGGCGGCGACCCGATCCCGCTCTGGGAAAACGTTGCGCTCTCCATGTTTGGCGGTGCGGTTGGCGGCGCGGTGGGCAACCCCGCGGATGTTGTCAACGTGCGCATGCAGGCGGATGGACGACTGCCCGAGGCCCAGCGCCGCAACTACGCCCACGCCGTCGACGGCCTCGTTCGGATCTCGCGCGACGAAGGCCGCGACGCGCTACTCCGCGGCGTGCGGCCCAACATGATGCGCGCGATGCTATTGACGAGCGGGCAGATTGCCACGTACGACGTCTTCAAGACCTTCTTCCTCGAGACAATCGGACTCGACGACAACATTGGCACCCATTTTGCGTCGAGCATGGCGGCGGGTTTGGTCGCGACGACCGCGGTGCGCAAGATACTATTCGCCCTCTGTGCTGATGTATATGGCTAGTGCGCGCCCATGGACGTTGTCAAGACGCGATTGATGAACATGCAGCAGCACGCGACGACCGAGTACAGTGGCACCGTCGATTGCTTCACCAAGATTCTCAAGACCGAAGGCGTCCGCGGTCTCTTCAAAGGCTGGACGCCTGCCTACATGCGCCTCGGGCCGCAAACGATCCTCACGTTTATGACCCTCGAGCAGCTTCGAAAGCTGATTTAATCGTCATTAATTCAGAGTACAATTCGACTATAAAGATATGAATTGGAAAGTGCAAGTGCAATCTGGCCGAATCCAACGGCACGCGCTGATTGGCCGGTTGGAAGATCGCAAAACATGGTGGCCGAAGACGGGCTCCTCGTCGTCGTCAACGGCATTGGCATGCCAGTTCTTATCCGCGCGTACGGCGACGTCCTCCTGCCACCCAACGCGGCGGTCAGTGTCGTCAGCGCCCTCTTCCATGCAACGCTCGACTCGAAGACGGTGCTCACATCCGTCGCTAGCCAGGCGTACGCGATCACGTACCGGCACTTGCCAACAAGTGGCGTGCTTCTCGCCTTCTTCCATCGCCGCTATGCAGCGGGCATCGATGGCGTATTGACGTGGCTCGAGCACTGTCTCTGCCTCTTCGTGGGACCGACCCTGCTCCTGTCGACGGACGCCGGCGCCCTCAAGTTTGAGCTAGCGCGCAGCCATGTGGTCGAGTCTCTCGATTGGCTCGTCGCTCACCGAGCGGAGATGGACCTCGCCCTCGGTCAGCCTGTTTCGACGCCCGGCGACATTGCTTGCTTGGACGACATTTTAACGTGGCATAGCGACATGTACGTGCTCTCGCATGGCGTTGTCGTCGGCGACCGTGGCGACGTGCGCTCGACGCTGACCCGCCACGAGATGGTGCTGAGCGTCGTCTTGGCCAAGCAGTTTGCTCTCCAGTCCAAGGACAAGCAGTTGCAGCACGCGATGTACACGGCGGGTACGCGGAAGCGCCAGATTGTGCTCGTCCGCGTCGCACCCAACGTTGCATGGTTTGGGCTGGCCGACGACGCTGTGCCGACATCTGTCATTCAGAGCACAGTGCGTTCTCTTACTATCGGATACGGCGATGATAGGAGTAGTTGTGTAGGTCGTCGACAAGCTCGCGCTCTGGTGCAGTTGCACGGACGTGAGCCGGCTCTCGCGTTCGAGTCTGGCTCTAGAGAAAGCTCTGACGGGGCCGCTGCTCGGGTTCGCCTGACTCGCAATCAGCTCTTGCATGTAGAGCACGCTCTAACCGACGATCGGCGTAGGTATTGCGCAGGTCGCCTTCAACCGTCGTCGCGACACAGCTCGTACCTGTACTTTGGAGCGCAGGACGATGCCGAACTCCGACTAATGCGCCCCGACGACTTGACATTTCCTCACACGCGCGAGCACGTATGCCTTCTGCTCCAGCAGCACTATCAACGTCGCCTTGATGACGGCGGTGCATCCTGCGACGACATTGTACAGCTGGCGGTATGTCGCTTCCCCTTCGCATGACCCTCGCTTGAACCCTACCCCCGATCGCGTAGCACCTTGCACTTGTGTACACCGTACGTGCGCCACTACACTTTGTGTGCGTCTTTTACGCCGATGCGAGCACGAGCCGTCTCGACCAAGTACTCGACGCGACAGACACTTTTCTGCATGTCTTGCTGTCACATTGACGCTGAAATTGAGATTCGAGTCGACGAGCATGCCAGATGGCATGGCGCGCTTGCATTTTTATTCGAGCGACGGCATGTCGGCAAACTCTTCCTCCATCTCTTTCTGCTTCTCGGCTTGTTGGAGCTTCTTGTTGTCGGCGACCATACGGTCCATGATTTTTTCCTTGTACAGCTTCTTCTCCGCTTCATGGTAGTTGCGAATGTACTGCTGCAGCTGCACCTACATTGCAAGCAAATCTATCAAGTTGATAGTGTTTTCGACGACGCACCTTGGACCGCTTGAGCTCGATGGTGGCCTTGGTCATGCCGCCATCGGGCTTTCCGCCGGCCAGCGACATGGCCTTCTCGAGGCTCTTCTCGGCCTCGTGGAGAAACTTGTTGGCCTTATCAATGACCCAGAATTCCTTGCGCTCTTCCTTCGCGAGCTCTTCGCGGAGCTTGCCCGTAAAGACGAGGCCCCGGCGAAAGTGGCCCTTCACGTTCTCGGGCGACAGCTCGATCGCCTTGTCGCAGTCCCACTCGGCGTCGTCCCATTTTTCGAGCTTGATCTTGCACAGCGCGCGGTTCAAGTACAGGGGCACCTTGTGGTGGTTGATGCGGACTTTATCGTCGGCCGAGACGAGCACTTCCCACTCGTCCTTGCCGTAAAAGATGTGGACGAAGCCCTACGCTCATGCATGCTATCAACGTGGCCAGGAACATGGAGTACCGTGTCATAGTGCTTTTGCGCGGCGGCGAAATCACCAGCTTTGACGGCTTGGTTGCCGAGCTCCTTGTACTCGTTGGACGACGCAAGACGTTCGTCTACGACGAGGCAAGATGGCACTGCGTAATCTGATGATGCGACGGCGCGTACCGACGGTCGGGGGCGGGTTCTCCTCCAGCATCTTGCGGTCCTCTTCATTTTGACGCTTGCGGGACTCGGCAAGCTCGGCTTGGGATGGGAATTTCGGCAGTGGTTTCTACACACGTGGCGGCGTGAGCGGACGCCAAGCAATAAGAACGCATCGTACGCCAAAGCTCACGAGCTCGATCTCGTAGTCGAGCACTTCATTGGGCTCCACCTATGCAGTATACAGCGATCGCAATCGGTCGAGCGCCGAGGTGTCTACCTTGGGCGCGAGGCCTTGCACGCCGTAGCCGTACTCGGGCTTAATGATGAAGCGCGCGATTTCGCCGAGGTTCATGGTCGCGACTGCAATGTCGAGGCCTTCAATGACCTTGCCTACGCCGTACCATCCATCGAACGCGATGCGGACGGCGGCACGACGTACCGCGGCCAAGGTGAAACTCGAATGGGTCGTCGGTGCCACCCGCGTTCTTGCCGTCGACCACGTCACGCCTGCGCGCGCTGCATGCAATGTCGTGAGAGAGGAAAGCACGTACGTGGTCTCAAAGATCGAGCCGTCGTCGAGGCGGCCGACGTATTGGATGAACGTCGGACAGCCTTCTTCAATGAACTTGCCATCGGTGCTCGGCGCATCTTTGAGGATCTACGCCATTGTCGCTCGATCAGCGATGGACAATGGAAGGACGCTCTTGCCTTCTTCAAAACGCCGCCGTCAGCCTTGGGCGAAATGTCGATATAGCCATCGCGGCAAAAGTCGCATGTGTCCGGGTCAAAGAAGGTCTTTTGCGCCCTTCATGGAGATGAGGATAGCATCGCCAGTCGTAGCCATCGTACCGCGCGCAGTGGGCGCAGATGCGCTCGACGTTGGTGACAAGGCCCACGCCCCAGCCGCCACAGACTGTGCAATGCTCGTACTCGTCCGCCATCTTGCTCGAAAAGATGAAAATGCTCCATCGCTCCACGATGAGGTGCCTGGTAAAGTACGCATTTACGTGGCTAAAACCACGCAACGCAAACCCACCCACGAAGGACCTGCCCCCGCATCCCTCGCTGCTGCTTCAAGTAGTGGGCATATTGGCAGAAACAAGGAATCCTGCATTTGCATTAAACTCTCGCCGCCAATTGCACTTCCAAGGAGCCCATGCCAGCGGACAACCGGGGCGGCGGGCGGCCGAAACACAAACGACTAGCCAGTTGGAATGCATTCAAGCTCGCGGAACTACACCCAAGGCCCTATACGCGACGACTTCATCTGGACTGTCTTGCCGCGAAGGCTCGCACTACTGGTGCTGATCGATTTCACGTTTATCTGGTTGCACGTCTGATGGCAGGTCGGTAAGTAGCACGCCGGCTGGATTTGCGTGTCAAGCGAAAGCGTACCTTAAGAGCGCACTTGCTCTCAGTATGTCTTTCATTTAAATGCGGCACGTCCTGTCTATTGTGTGCTATGTAACTTCTCTCGAAAGTGCCGCTGCTGTCACATTGCCGACGGGTTGTCAGTCGCGATGCCACAGCCTCTTTCGACGCCTACGACGCTATGGGCGCCTCAAACAGTACGAGCGCGGAGAGCAGCGGCAGCAGTAGCGCGCCCCACGGCCTCGTCGTCAAGCCGTCGAACGCGATTACGTTCGTCTTGGCACCAGGCAGCGCGCCGACGGTCGTCGTCAAGCTGAAAAACACCTGCAACAACCACAACGTCGCCTTCAAAGTCAAGACGACGCACCCCGCACGGTATGTGGTCAAGCCGACCCATGGCGTCCTGCCACCACAGTCCAAGCTCCTTGTCACGGTCGTTTTGCAGCCAGCCGAGTGCGACGACCTTTTGAGCCTCGCGGCCGACGTTCTGGCCGAGATCCCCGACAAATTCCAGCTGCAATGGCTCCGCACCAAGCTCAATGCGCCAATGACACTTGTGGAGGACGACTTTCGAGCGCTGTGGTCGACCGTCGAGAAGAAGCACATTCACGGGCACAAGCTGCCGTGCCGCTTCATAATCGACAGCGGCGCCCCCGAGCCCGTCGTCGCGTTCGGCCTCGAGCCCGGCACATCGCCCGAGGCGACGCTGGTCGTCACCAACCCAAGTGCGACGACGAGCATGGCTTTCAAGGTCAAGACGACACGGCCGACACGGTACCGTGTCCGGCCCAACCAAGGCGTACTGCGGCCTGGCGCGACCGCCACTGTACTAGTCGTGCTCGAGCAGGACGACTGCGACGATCTCTGTTCGCTTGAGCCAAGCGGTCGGCTTCTCGTCGGCGACAAGTTCCTCCTCCAAGCGACCCCGATCGACGACGCGTTTTACATGCTCGTGACAAAGAAGGGTGCACTGCAGGGCATGGACGAGCTCAGCAGCTTTTGGGGCCGCACGGACAAGGCAACCGTGTGGAGCCAAAAGATTGCCGCCCGGTACGTCGACGGCATGGTCGTTGACGCAACGACGGACGTGGCTCTGCCGTTGTCCTAGTCGACGCCGCGCCGCCACACGTAGAAATCGCGCGAATACCCCTTTTTGGCTACAAGTGTAGAAAGTGCAATCTGGCCACAAGTTGTCCCTGTCTTCAGCTACACTCTTCGTAATCGTAGTATGACCATCTTGACTATCTAGTATACCGTAACAACCGCGTGCCATGTGCGGCCAGCGCCCGGTGCAAGGTTCTTAGGATCCGCGAGGAATCTCAAAGGGAAGAGATGCCCGTAAAAACACGCTGGACATAGGTGTCCCACCCCGTGCCATCGACGCGCAACGACGTCAGATCCGTCCTCGCTAGCACTGCTGTTGTGCGATCGCATGCCCGCTCTCACGTGACGCCGCCGATTCGAGCCATCGCGCCGACCACATCGGCGCCGTCGTCGCGGCGAAGAAGGCTCCGTGGCGTCCTTGACGCTGGCGACATGTGCATGTGTACTGTAGGCTGTCGTACAGTACGCATATCCGGGTACTGGCAGGCGTGGCTGGCTGGCCTCATTGTCGGGGATTTGCCCACTCATTGACTACTACAACACACACACAATGACCAACGCAGAGGCCACAGCGGTGCATGCGATCGTCGTCACGCCCAACGATGGCCTCGTCTTTCTGGACGGCCGCGCCACCATGACGCTCACGAACCCCAGCAGCGCTGACTGCGTTGCGTTCTCGGTACGTCCGAGCGCTGCGTACAAGGTCGAGCCCAACCACGGCGTGCTCAAGCCGGCTGGCGGCATCGCGCTGCTGGTGACGCCGCTCGACGCGACGCGGCACCCGCGTGACGACCTCACCGTGCAGTCCGTCGGCGTCGAGGCGTCGTACTGCCGCGCGCTTCAGGCGCAAGCCGCACCAGATGCCATGCACGCGCTCATCCAGCTCTGGGCCAACGTCGAGATGGACCACGTCACGAGCTACCGCGTCTTTGTGCAGAAGCGGCCCTCGATGCGGCTGGACACGATCATCACGCCTGTCGTGGACCCGACGGCAACGCACGTCGAGAGCATCTCGTTTGTGCTGTCGCCCGAGTCGCCCGTGACGATTCTCGTGCGCAACCCGAGCGCCCGGGACAGCGTCACGTTCCAGGTCATGGCGTCGCAGCTGAAGCGGTACCACGTGCGGCCCAACCACGGCGTGCTCGGCCCCATGAGCCAGATCCGCGTCCAGATGCTCTTGAAGCCCGCGTACTGCGACAAGCTGCTCCGCGCGACGCCGACGACTCGCGGCCTCCTCAAGGACAAGATCTTGGTCCAGGCGCTGACGCTCTCGCCCGACTTTTGTCGCCAGCTCACCAAGAAGGCGTCGAAAGAGGTCATTGACGACCTCACGACGCTCTGGATACGCGCCGAGAAGAAGCGCATCGTGACCAAGAAGCTGCGATGTCGCTTCGAGCTCACGGCGGGCGGGCCCATGACGTGGCACCTTGCGCTGACACCCTCGATGGACTTTGCGCCGGCGGTCGAAGGTGGCGACGATGAAAACGACGTCGTTGTCAAGAAAGGTTCGCATCGCGCGCCTCCGCCGCCGGCCAAGTACTGTGATTGCGAGATCATGTGAGACGATGACGCTCCTCTGCCTAGGCTGGACGACGCCGACTTAATGAATTGGGTCCTTTGCGTCTACCAAGGCCGCCCCGTTCTGTGTTGAGACACCTGCATGTTGTCCACTCCATTTTACCAACGAGCATCACCGTTGCTTCAACACAAGTGACGACCGACGATGATCCTTATCTGCTGCATCACCCACGTCTTGCAAGAGACACGACGTGATGACATTAGCACTGCATACTGCTCGAGTGCCAAGTGGTAGTAACGATGCCTGCTACGTGGTCGGTGACGATGGGTCATCTACAAAGAGCAAATGTCGTACGCTCGCCAGCTCATGGCGCTGCTTCACAGGTCGATATGGTGGCGTCAAGGCTTTCTCGAGGTGCTCCTCTCGATCACGCATCTGCAGTGTGTTGCTGCACGTAAGGGCGACGGGCTCCTTGGCCCACTGCTGCTGCTTGGGGCCAAGCGGCACGTGTTTGCACTAAGATCGCCGGCAATCTTAGAGCGTCATACAATAATAATGTGTGCTGCATGCGTAATAGAATGTCTTCGGTGTAATGTTGCTTACAAACACACTGTATAGTAGCATGATCTAGTGAAAAAATGAGGTAAAAAAAGACACGACCGCTTCAAGGATATGTTTTTGTCGGATTTCAGCCAATGGCATCGCTCCACGGTTCGCGTGCATTTTTATTCGAGTGGTATACAAAAAGCAAGTGCAACGGCACGGATACGCTGCCGACGATGGCATTTGTATTTCTTCCTTCGTTCGCCTGGCCCCAGAAGGACTCGATGGACTCGTCGTCGGCTGCGCATAGCATCACGCTCGACCCGACGGACTCGCTCGCGTTCGCGCTCGCGCTGGGCAGCTCGCCGCAGGCCGCGCTCGTCATCTCCAACCCGAGCAGCGTCGAAAACGTGGCCTTCAAGGTCAAGACGACGCGGCCGATGCGGTACCTCGTGCGGCCCAACCAGGGCGTGATCGGCCCCAACAGCTCGGCCACCGTGCTCGTGATCTTGCAGCAGAAGGACTGCGACGAGCTCCTCCGCCTCGACGCGTCCGAGCGCCAGCTCTCGAACGACAAGTTCCTCGTCCAGTCGGTCGGCGTCGACGCTGAATTTTGCGACCTCCTGACGAAAAAGTCGGCCAAGGAGGTCATGGACGACCTCACGACGCTCTGGGCCAACGCCGAGAAGAAGACGATTAGCAACAAGAAGCTCCGGTGCCGCTTTGTCGAAGGCAGCAGCATGGACGTGAGCACGCCGAGCCAGCTCACAAGCGCGCTCCTCGAGACGCCACCCGAGGCCGCGCCCAAGCCGCTCTCGACGCAGCAGTCGATGTATGCGTCCACCGCCGAGGACTCGATCCGACAGGAGATGATGGCCGAGATGGCTGTCTTGCGCAAGAAGTACGACGAGGTAGCCATCCAATCGCATCGCCCCATTCGCTTACTCAACGTCGTCATTAGCTCGTGGCCTTTACCGTGCAATTGACGGCGCAGCGCGATACCCTCATGGGCGACCTCGACAAGTCGCGCCAGCAAAACCAGAAACTCACGACCGAGCAGCAGCGATTGAAGCGGCAGACGTCGGACATGGTCGACCTTGCGCCAGCAAGGCCCAGGGCAGCGCCGACGACGCGACGACGACCACCGGCAACGCGTCGCCCGCGCGCGCGCCTGTGGCAGCCACCAAGGTACAACACCCACGCGAACCCCTCGTCGTCTCATGCACCCTCGTCTAGCCGCCTCTCACATTATTTCACGTTCTCATCTGCGCGATCCTCTGCTTCCTCATCGGTCGCTACTACGGCTAGCTAACCACAAGTCGTCGTCCGGTGCTCCTCCGAGTGGTCTCTTGCGCACCAATATAAGCGTATCGACTTGGTCGTTTTGCCTTGGCCTCCTTACGCCGCAAGGACGTAGCGCTCGCTTGAGCGTGCTCGTCTATACTACCAAGGCCATACACTTGACGTCAAGTTTATGGCCTTGAGACCGCCCACCGCCTTTGTCTTTTCTGCACACACAAGGACATGGACAAGAACATGGACATGGACGAGCGACGGTTTTATTACAGGGGTCAATTCAAAATGTTGGCAAAGCTCATCTTCTGCCGCGTCGGTGACGGCGAGTCGGTCCCCGTCGTCGCGGCAGGTTGTCGCTTGCGCTTTGGCCGGACCTTGGATGCGTCCGATGACGTCGTGCTGTCATCGTCGTTGCCGTCGTCTTCGTCGTCGGCGTCTTCCGAGTTGGAGTTGGAGACCGAATTCGTCGGCGACAGACTCTCTTCGGTCTTCTTGAAGCTAAACGACTCGTCCCGCAGCGCATGGACGGCGTGGAGGGACACTTTGCTGCGCTCGGCGGCCTTGGCGCTCGGCGTCGGTGACGGAGCTACCTTGGCCACCGCCGGCGCCGCGTCCTTTTGCGACAGCTGCAGCATCGTGTACCCGAGTTGCAGCTCGAGCGTCCGGTCCTGTGGCGCCGTCGAGTCGTCGTGCTGGGTGATGGTGGAGCCGGTGGCGTCCATAAATATCGTCTCCACGCGGTGGATCATCGTGAGTAGCTGCGAGTACGTGGCGAACGGCTGCTTGTTGAGCACTTGCTCGACAAACTTGGTCCGGGTGTTGTAGCCCGTCCATTTGTCGTGCTTCTTGAGAATCTAGATAGGATCTTGTCACGAACCGTAAGACTAGATGCAAGGAAACGCGTACCTTGGAGATACCAGAGTAGTTGATCAGCGCAAAGTTCTCGAGCAGAAGCATCTCCTTGAAGAGCGCGACGCACGCGCCCATGATCTGCGTCTTGGTATCTTGGTTCGCATCGCGCGCTTGCTACACGCACCGCTCGCCTCGAAAGAAAGCATGTTTCGCCACGTACCTCGAAGGCCTTGAAGTGTGTCTCGAGGTGGCCCAGCAGATCGCCATACCGCTGCTGTGTCTTGACGAAGAAGTCGGCAATCTTGGCCATGTCGGCGCGCAGCGTGCGGAAGAAGTTCATCTCGTTCACCGATTCGCCTATGCAGGAGGCGCGCATGAGGCCATGATGGGCGAGACACGGGCGTAGGGTACGGATGGACTCGTTGTCGCTGTTTTGCTTGGCAGCCTCAATGAGCTTTTCTTTCTTGAGCTTGTCGTGCTTGGGGATCTGCGCGCAGTCCTTGATGATGCGCTTGAGCTGCTTGTAGTTGACCCACGACCGCTCGTACTCGGAGGACGAGAGCTCGATGGACTGCGTGAGCACCTTGCCGAACTTCATGCTGCTCGTGCGCCAAGCCCAAAGTCGGTGGTCGCAGCTTTACCTGCTGCGGGAAAGCGTCGCTTTTCGTCCAATGAAAAGCGCCGACGATGGCATCTCGGTGCAATTAAATTGCCACGTGGTTTCCATACAAGGCCGAGATCTTTGACGAGTATTTTTATTGATCGACGCACCCAGATTCCCTGCCTTGCAACGGACTGGATTAAAGTATAGACGACGAACGACAGGTCGGTGCATACAAATACCAAGATAGTGCTCGGACGCTCTGAAACCGGCGCCGGGTTCTTTTTTCCCAACACGGAGTAGCAAGCAGCTGGTATATCCGTTATGTCTTGAGCTTTCAACTTTCAACTTGCAACTTTAGTGTTAGTAGGTCGATCACAGCATTGTACAAACTAAGTTCGTATGCCTCCGCTCCAGATTCAAGAGGACTCGACTGAGTAGCCAACAAGTCGAGTCGATCTGTCGGTTCGATAGCGAACCCCATGGAAACGTCGTCGTCGTCGTCGCTGACGTCCAGAGAGAGGTCGTCCGTAGACGAGGCGGGCGGTCATTACGAAATAAATTGCATGCAGATGCTTGTACTACCCACGATTGCAAGCCACCGCTCCACCAATTCGCTCCACCACCATGGTCCACCACGGCTCCTGTAGCCGCACGGGATATTCAGGAGCAGAGCCACGCGTCGCCGTTGGCATCATCGTGCATCCTTCTCCAGTGGCGATCGTCCAGATCGAGTGCAAGAATGGCCCTTTCCTCAACAACACAGAGAGGTGCATCGCTGACATGCTTGAGGAAAGGTGCATCCTGGATGCAGGCGAAACGGCTGCAAGGAACGAAGAATGGATGCGACGACCACCGACAAGTTCCCGCCCCGCTCAAGGTATACTACCGGTAGTTGGAAGGAGCCACCAGCTGCATGCGTCTGCGTATGCTCACGTACGCTGCAGGTTGCCGTCCGTGCACCCGCATCAGCAGCAGTGTACGAGCACGTTTATCAAAGTTGACGTATGCAAGCCCATCCTCGCAGGCAGCAATACGGAGGATGGCATCGACGGCTTCACGGCTCGCACCGTGACGCATCAGGTTCAATGGATCGTCATCCCACCCTATGCAACGGCGCTAAAGGACGCATCGTGCACCTCCTACTGTAGCTCCTCAGCGATACCTGCGCGGCGCCAGCGCCGTCGCTCGTGACACTCATGGCCCAGCGCTTGCGGGCAGTCGAGGCGCAGCTCGTTGACCTTCGCGCCGAGGTCGCGCAAAAGCAAGCCATCATCGATGGGCTACATGCCCAGCTGCAGTCCAACAACGCGACCGTAATGATCCCTCGGCGCTGAAAGCGGATGCGATGCAAAGGATGCTGTCTAGGGCGCCTGTTTAGAGGAGCACGGTGGGGAGCTTCACCGGCTACGACACGAGGTGCAAGCTATGCACGCCTTCCTCGCCGACTACGGCCTCGAGTGGGTCGGCGCGACTCCTGTCGAGCTCGACGACGCCCAACCGCAGCTCGTCGACGAGCTCATTGCGCAAGTCGAGCGCCTCAACGCAGCTGCGAGCAGCCTCGTCGTACACTCACTCGTCCTATGTAAAGAGCGCTTATCGTCTGATAGGTGGTCAAGGCGCCCGGTGATTCGCAGGTGCGTCGCTGTCGCTCATCCAAAAATGCGACGAGATCGTCAGGTCCACCACCTCAATGAGCGCGAGCGTCTGCGCATGGTCATCTACCGCAACGGTCTCGTGCTGAAGCGGGGGCCCTTCCGGTATGTCTTCGCTCCATAGTGGAAGGGGAGTCGAACGTCAAGGCTAGTCCATACGGGGACGTTGCCACGCAAGAGCTAATTCAAGTCGGATTGTGTCGTGGGCGAGATGTTGCTGCTCATCAGGACGGTGCGCCTAGGACCTACTGGACGGCTACTACCCGTTTGAGCTAAAAGAGACGTACCCTGATGGCGTATGTTGTTGCGACGCGTCTTGGGCGATGACATCAGTGTACTAGGTTCGATTTGATATTGTCGACCAGCGGCACTCGACTTTTGCGACGACGACGAGTCCCAAATGCCACTCGCTGGCGTCCGTCGGCGCAGCAACGGTGAGCAGTCTCGAGCATGAATGCCGACGCAGTGCAACTCAGATGCAACTGCCCACCTTTTGAACGCACTCCCGGCGTCCGTCATTCGCAACGGCTCGATCGTACCGATCCGTGGCGAGATCGCCGACCTTCTCGCACCTCGCGCGTCGGCGACAGAAGCGCGTGTGAAGACGCTATCGCCGGGTGCGAATCGTCGAGTGGCCTCCTCTCTACTGCACGGTCGTTCTAGATGGCATCGCCCAGCTTCAGATTCGATCGCCCGACCAGACCGTCGTCCTCCAGATCCCAAATGACACGACGTTGCGAGACGTCAAGGCCGAGATTGCCGCAATGTGGTATTGGATTGCCTCGTTTTGGACACATCGACCACACATATTGGTGGACTAGGGGCTATTCACCGTCAACCTTTCAGCTCGCCTCGGCCTTTCCGCCACGCGTTCGTCCTGTCTGCATCGCTGGAAACCCTCGCATCTCCGTGTTGTAGGCGTACGACGACGAGTCGCGCACGCTTCGGGACGAAGGCTTGCTGCCCCGAGCGACGCTGCACGTTCGATTTCTTTAACTCTTTTTCTGTCCGAGTGGTGTGCATGCGACGCGCCTGGCTACCGCAGGCCGAGCGCTCGCGTCGCGTTCAAAGAGTCTGCATAGCAAGGGTTCGAAGAGAAATTCTCTCTTAAAGATGCAGCCACGGAGATGTATGGCTTTGATGCAACGGTACTCGTCCTCACGAGGCTGTGTTTCGGGGTATGACCAGTTGCAAATGGCAAGACGACCGACGCAATACCGCTGCGCTGTCATCGAAAAGTAGAGCGTCGTGGTGCCTCCCTCCCTACTACGGTACTAGTGTGCTACGTTCAAGAACGTCCAAAGGTCATGCTGCGCCATGGTCGCAAAAGACGCTCAAGATGCCGATTCGGGTCTTCAAAGCAGAGTCGTCTCGCTTTCAGCCTCGCGATGCAAGCGGCCATAGCTCCCATGCCGACTGGTACGCGTCGTTCCAGCAGGACCATGCTACCTGCTGGCATTTCGTCGGTGACGCGAGCACGTCCTTTTTCTGCTAGTGGAGAAAAGCATTGTCGGACGAGGTCATGCTTCTTGGTAATGGCGTTGACCGTCCATGCTCGCGACGTTGCATCCAAATCTGCACCATCTTGCAGTTCCAACGGGTTCGCCGGTTGGCGCCATTTCAACCCGAAAGTAGGTGCAAAGCAACCCTTTTATGGCACACTTGAGCGCAAAGGCCGCCAAAAACCCTCCTTTTTGTCGAAAACGGCTGTTCATTGCGCGCAGGGAGCGTTCATTTCAGAGAGGTTTTCAGCGAGTGGGTTTCCAAACGCCGATTGACTGGCTAGGGCGCCACTAAGATCAAGTGCAATCTGAGTGTTGTAGCACTACGACATCGCCATGGTGAAGCGCAAGAAGCACGATAAGGACAAGTACTACAACCTCGCGCGCCAGCAAGGCTACCGCGCGCGGTCGGCCTTCAAGCTCATCCAGCTCAACAAGAAGTACGACTTCCTCTCCAAGGCCAAGGTCTGTATCGATCTCTGCGCGGCGCCCGGCGGGTGGTGCCAAGTCGCGGCCAAGTACATGCCGGCGTCGTCGATCATTCTCGGTATCGATCTGCTGCCGATCCGTCCGATCCGCGGTGTGAAGACGTACCAATGCGATATCACGACGGCGCGCTGTCGCCAGATCATTCGCCAGGAAATGCAGTCGTGGAACGCCGACGTCGTGCTCTGCGATGGCGCGCCCAACGTCGGTGCCGAGTACTCGAAGGATGCGTACGTGCAGAACGAGCTCGCGCTCATTGCGCTCAAGCTCGCCGTCGACGTCATGGGCAAGGGCGCGACCTTCGTCTCCAAGGTCTTCCGCTCGCAAGACTACAACGCGCTCGTGTGGGTCTTCAAGCAGCTCTTCAAGAAGGTGTCGGCGACCAAGCCGCTCTCGTCGCGTAACGAGTCGGCCGAAATCTTCGTCGTCTGCGAAGACTACCTTGCGCCGCACTCGATCGACCCGAAGCTCCTCGACCCTGAGCACGTCTTCTCGGCGCTCGAGAAGGACGCCGAAGGCGGCCTCACGATCTTCCACCCCAAGTACGGCACGCAAAAGCGTCATCGTGAAGGTACCGTTGCATGTCCTCTGTGTATTTGGCTGCATTCTCTAGAGTCTCTGGCTGTCGTTCCTTCCTCTATCGACACGCCGGTGCTACTTGCAGCCGACAGCAATATCAAGCGGTGCGCCACCGACGTCTTCTCTACGACGGCTGGCGCATCGAGATCTATGACATTTCTTTCCGATATGTAGTATAAACGGCCGACTGATCCGCTTGACTAGGTTATGACGACGACCTTGGCCAGACCCTCACGCGTGTCAAGACCATCACCGAGTTTGTCGAGTCGAACGACCCGATCCGCCTCCTCACCGACTGCACGTCGTTCAAGTTTGAACAAGCCGATGCTATGTTCCTCGAGCACGCGGCGACGACGACCGAGGTCAAGGCGTGCCTTGCGGATCTCAAGGTACAACCGATTTACGATTGGCAATGCGAAGGCGCGACGCGGTGTGATGACTGAAACTCACCTGTCGGGGAGATCCACTGTTGTCCTGGCGCCCGCTTAAGTGCGGGACAACCCACCAGGAGCCGGTGCGGTCGCTGCACGAGAGCTTGCATTCGTGCATGTCTGACCTCGTCGCGCCTTTCCCAGATTGCACTTTCTGTGCGACACACATTCTCATCACCTCTCTGATCTTAGGTCCTCGGCAAGGGTGATTTCAAGAGCCTGCTCAAGTGGCGCACCAAGATGCAGGTGTACCGCGACGAGCTCCTCAAGGCCGCCCAAGGCGAAGAGGAGGTCGCCGAAGAGGAAGCTGTTGTCGCGACCATCACGGCCAACGTCGAACTGACGGAGGAAGAGAAGAACGCGGCGATCCGCGAAGAACTGGCGCAGCTCCGTGCGAACGTGCTCGCCAAGAAGAAGCGCGAAAAGAAGAAGGTGCGTCGATTGTCCTTGATGTGCTGCATATGTTTGTGGACGTCTGTATGACTGGAGTCTATCCCAGTGGTCCTTGGCATCTGTAGCCACTGCATGGACTAACCCTCCTGACCCCCGTAAAGCTCCTAGAGCAAGTCGGCGGTGTCGAGGCTGCGTCGTGTCCTTGCTTGGCGCGGGGCGTCTCGGTGTCGTCGTACATTTGTGTCTGCTTTTTTCTGCATTTTTCATATTTTATGTTTTTGCTGGATCCAAAAGTCCTTGTCGTTGCGAACCATCGACTCGCTATGGTCCTTGAACAGACCGACTATTGAAATCAGCGATAGAAACTTGATCCTTCAGCTGTATCCACCTCTTTCACGTGGGGTTGCGGTACCGTTTGTGGCTCAGACATTGTCTCTTAGCATAGTTTTGAAGTTTTTTCTGAGCACGCAACTGATGCAATATACACCTGTAGGAGCGTGAAAAGAAGGCCAAGGAACGTCTTCGCGCGGCCATGGGCATGTCGGAAGCCGGTATCGAACTCACGGACGACGGCCAAGCCTTTAGCCTCAAGAAGCTCGGCCTCGGCAAATCGAACATCAACGATCTCGACGATGGCGCCTACGCGTCGGCCTCCGACTCGGACGAGCTCCTCGAACCCGAACACGGCAACGGCGACGACGACGATGACGACGACATGGCTGCCATCATGGAGTCGCAGATGGAGAAGCTCTACGACGAGTACCTCTCTCGCAAGGGCGATGGTGCCAAGACTAAGAAGGCGATCAAGCGCTCCAAGGTCGCCAAGCGTGCGCTCGCCGGCGAGGCGCTGGTCGAGGACCACACCATGTTTGACGGCGACAACGAGGCGTACGAGAAGATGATCAACCCCGAGGAGGTACGCTTGCATTCCCGTTTGCATATCTCCCCCGCTATCGTGTTGTCTGTTCCGGGCTCTCCGTGCTCTTGTTCAGTTGTCAAACTCGGGGCACAGTCACGGACACGACTTATGTCTGACCGGCTGGCCGTTCTGGCCTTCCGGTCCTTCCCGCGTCCTACATTTCTTCCACTCTGTATTTGTGATCCAGTGGCTGATCCACTGTCTTGCTGTAGAGCTCGGACGAGTCGGACGTTGAAGAAAACCCGCTGGTCGTCTCGCTCAAGCAGCCCGTGCGCCCGTCGGCCGCGGTCTCTCGCTGGTTCTCGGGCAACAAGCTCTTTGAGGACGTCAAGGACACGCCGACCGTCGTCGTCGACAAGGACGGTGACGTCGTGCCCGTCATGCCCATGACGGACAAGGAGATCCGTCACAAGAAGCGCAAGGACGCGGCCGACCGCAAGGAGCGCCGCGCGGCCAAGAAGCAGCGTCTCGAAGACGAAGAGCTCGCGCGGCTCGCGTCCGACGACGAAAACATGGACGCCGGTGACGACGAGGATGACAAGAAGGGCAACAAGACGCCGTTGACGGCCGAGCAGCTCAAGCGCAAGCACGAGAAGGAAGCGCTCATCAAGGCCGGCATGGGCGCGCCGCTCGTCGCGACGCCGCTCTCGACCAACTTTGAAGTGGTCAAGGCCGACCCGGAGCTCCCGGCCGTCGATACGCGCAAGTTTGACTCGGACCATGAAGACTACGACGAGGAAGACCACGCCCGGACGATGGCGCTCGCGCACATGATGCTCCGCCGCGACACGGCCAAGGACCTCATCGACAACTCGTACAACCGGTACGCGTGGAACGACGCGGCCGACCTCCCGGACTGGTTCCAGGACGACGAGGAGCGTCATTACCGTCCGCAGATTCCGGTGCCGAAGCATTTGATGATGCAGATGAAGGAGCGCTTCATGGAGATGGCGACCAAGCCGGTCAAGAAGGTGGCCGAAGCGCGCGCCCGCAAGCAGCGCCAGCAGCTCAAGAAGATCAAGATCGCCAAGAAGAAGGCCAACGACATTGCCAACTTGCCCGATATGTCGACGCGCGAGAAGCTCAAGGCGATCGACAAGGCCATGAAGATGGCCAAGACGAAGAAGGAAAGCAAGCTCTACGTGGTCTCGCGCCGCGGGCGCACGGCCGCCAACTCGAAGGCCTTCAAGAAGGGCGACAAGGGCGCGACCAAGGTCGTGGACCCGCGTATGAAGAAGGACAAGCGCAACGGGGAGAAGCGCGCCAAGCGCGGCAAGAAGTAGAGACGACGACGTGAAAATTTCGACGACGCCTTGAGCCCATTTCCTAATTTAATCGTTTCATTCTGTGCCTACAACCAAAACGAGTTTGCCTCCACCTTGCCAGAGGTGTGCCCATAGCGCTTCTGTCAGAGGTGTGTGCTTGCTGATGGTATTCGTCTCGCCTTGGTCTGATAAGGTCGCTCCGGCATACCGGTTATTGTGTGGCAAGTGAGCCCAACCCTAATTGTTGCCCCTCCATGGTACTAGTCCACACCTCCATGCGTGAATGGGCGAGTATGGACGACTGCCCCTTGGTGACCGGCAGGGCTCGGTGGCCGGTACGCCGACTGCATTGTAGTACTACCTGGCGTCAAGGCCATGAATACATGAATTAGTTGTGGCCTTGCTGGTATCGTATCGGAAGATTGAAACTCGTCAAGGATAAGAGCTTAGTCGGCCCCACTCATTTCATAGTGTGAGAAGAAATGCTCTGGTACGGGGTTGGTGACGCGATCGTGTCGAACGCAGACGGTGCGTCGCCACGAGTCCGTCGACCGCCGCAATGTCTCTGGATGCCGGAATTGGAACGTCATGCTTGTGCAGCTGGCAAGAGGATGGCGACCGAATTGAACGGGAGCGCGGACGACCTGCAGCGGCCGGCGGTGGCGACAGGACGGTCGCCAGCACTTTGGCTGCAACGACTCTAGCGCAACAGACGTGTTGAGCCATTCCATCATGAGCTGCGGGAGGACACTTTCCACTGTGAGTACGAGATCCGCCTCGATCAAGTGAATGCAAGAGCCGACGCCAACTGCAGAGAGGTAGCTGTTGGCGAGCGTGAGGCGCCTCAGGGCCGCGTAGCTGGCCACAACGTCCCCAACGTCAATGGGCCTCGCCACCGTGTCGTCAACCAAACGCAGCGTCGTGCAGATGGAGGAGCGCGGTCGTACTCTGCGTCCTGTCGAGTCGGACGTGCGCGAGCGGGTGCGAGCGAAACGAGTGTCGCCGCCTGGATCGCGTCACAGTCCGACGTAGTATCCAAGTCATCGAGCGCTAGCGATGCGGACCGAGCAATCGCATCAGCAAGAGACGTGACATCGGTCACCGGGCACTGGAGGCGGCGTAGACCGTCGCAAGCCAGGTGATGAAGTGGTTGCTGCGTCGGTTGTGCGGGTCGCTGAAGGAAGGCAGCGTCATGACTGCATCGGGAAATGCATCGGCGGTCGCTTGGTCCGATCCAAACGCAAACCCAGCGTGCGCACGTTGACGCAGCGTCTCAGGGCGGCGCAGACCACGAGCCGGTTCGGGTCGACACCGTCGGTGGTCGCATCGAACGGCTTGTCGCTGACCGAGCATTTGATGGACGAAATCTTGGTGGCCCACTTGTTGGCAATGTCCAACTAGGTCGCATGCATCTCGTCGTTGCCAATTTTGACACTTGAGAGCTGGATCTGCGGCACATTGCCCAACGCGTGTCGGAGCTCGCGTCACGCGGCCCTGCGCGACCGTCTTTGCGACATCCAAGAGGTTTAGTTGGATCGAGGAAAACGCGGGCAGCGCCTCGAGCGCGCGACGCAGGTAGACGCTCGGGATCTTGAGCAGCTTGACGCACGGCCAATGACGGCGCAAGTGCCATGAGGCGACCAAACGTCTTGAGGCGTACGAATGGTAGAGACAAGAGACCGGTCGGGAACGCTGCAACGTCGTCCCAAGAGAGCATCGCGAGGAGCTGCGTGAGGAGGTAGGCGTCGTTAGAAAGGGCGGGCAGCCGTCGCCCGGGGCTGGGTGGTCTCTTGTGCTCTGTGTGAAGCGATCCCAGTGCCCACCGCTCGGTCGTTGCGGCTCGAGATGGCGCCTTGCGAGACGTGGGCTGCTGGTGCGGCTGTCACCGCCATGGTGGGCGCGAGTGCGTCCGGCGTCGTCGTCATGCTCGTCGGCGCTTGATCCGGCAAATGGCGCTCGTCGACCTGCACTGTACGCGTCTCGGATGCATGGGGCGACCTGATTGGACAAAAACGACGAGGAATGATGGGCAACTAACTGACCAGGCTAGCGTATCATCGTGAGAGTCTGAAAATCCCAGTGGGTTCGTGTCAATACTGGATATCAACTAGTGGCATTCGATAAACGTAGCGACCCTACTATCCGTTTCATGGCTCTGGCGCGACTACAAGTCTCTTCTCCAGGGGCAGCTTGCGGCTGCGCTTTGTCGTTCGAACCCAAGTACGCACTGAGCGTATCAAGGAGATTCTTGGCAGCGACGATACTGGAGCTGCTTCAGCGGGGCTTTGTCATCATTGTCATTGTTTGTCGCCGGGATCTGCGTCATGGAGAAAATGCAGAATGAGCTAGCGATGCCATGTACGTTTCTACTTGCAAAAGCAAATGCAGATGCTCTTGTTGGCGTAAAATGATGTACTTCAGTAAAGGAAAATCAGATCTTGGCTCTGCCCACTCGAGGGAAAGTGGCATCTAGGACCATGCCACGGACGACACCAAGGGCTGTGGAGAAAGCGAACCTATATCTCGGCTATCTCCAACGAATGTATTTGTTGCGACACGCCACTGTGTTTGCCCATAAGCTGGACGATGGTTTGGCAACATCTTATCGAGCACTAGTGTGAATCAAAAAGATAGCCATATCTTTATCCGTATCCGGATTGTGTGATTCTCGATGCGGCTGTCCATTCACGTAGTGTAGCAAGCTGACAAGCCGCAGCTTGTCTTTAGTTGAGACTGTGTGAGCTTGTCGCTATGCAAAAGTCGACAACACGGGCGTCGAGTGGCTGTCGCCAATTCAAAACTAGACTGTACCTCCTTTGTCCGCCTCAAATCAAACAAAATTGAGAGGAACAGCTCACTTTATACATGTATATCGACACTAGGTTGCTAGTAAATGTGATGCGCATATTGTGCACGTACGATACAAGCAGAGACGGCAGCCGATGCGTCTTAGACACCGACGTACGCAAAGAGGATGAGACTCAACGACATGATACCCATGCCGCCGAGGATCGCGATCGAGACGGCGTTGCCATCGGGGCAGAACTTGACGGCCGACGGGATGAGTTCCTTGATCGAGAGCGTCACCATCATACCAGCGACGAGACCAAACATAGCACCTTCCACTGTCGGGTTGAGGCCGTCGCCGAGGATGAAGAAGGCGAGGATCGCGCCAAGCGGCTCGGCGAGCGACGACGCACAGGCCCACCAGAAGGCTTTGCAGCGGTTGTTGGTCGCAAAGTAGACGGGCGTCGCGACGGCAATGCCTTCCGGGATGTTGTGCAGCGCAATACCAATGGCCAGCGTCGCGCCGACCTTGAGGTCGTGGACCGCCGCCGTGTACGTAGCAATACCTTCCGGGAGGTTGTGGATCGCAAGCGCAATGGCCGTGAGGACACCCGTGCGGTTCATGGCTGCCTTTTCCTTGCCAGCAAGCGCCTCCTTGTCCGTATCAGTAGGCGTCGTGAGGGGGGCATGGCCGTCAACGACTTGCTCGAGGCGCGCGAGGTCGGCGAGGTCGACTTCGTCCTTAAGGTCGGGCGAGAGGCGGTGCACGAGCGCATCGAGAAGGTAGATGATCCCAGCGCCAACGGCAAAGCAAATGTTGGTAAAGACCCACGCGTTGCCTTCGCACGTCGAGTCGCACTCGCCGGCCTCGTCGGCGTTGCCAGCCTTGAACTGCTCGACCGACTCGTTGAAGATCTCGACGAGCGAGATGAAGACCATGACACCACCGGCGAGCGCAAGCGCGATCGAGAGGTTCTTGGCGTTGGCCATCTTGACCATGGACGCGCTAAAGATGACGAGACCGCCGATGCAAGTCGCGAACGCCGCGGCCCACGTGAGCGCAAAGGCGATGCCGACTTCCTTGGTGATTTCCGGCATTCTTCTTGTTGTTCGAGTTGTTGGTGGGAACGCGGAGGAAGAATGGATTGGGACGTGGGGCTGTCGAGTACGGTCGAGACGGCTACGGCCATTCGCTAAAGAGGTGTCATAGACAGTACGAAACCCACGCGTCGTGGACAAGACCGGGACAGCTGTCCGCTGTATACTACAAAACAGTGTAGAGCGGCGTAGTGCCGTCTATCATGGATAAGGATGAGAGCTGCTTTTGAAGGTAAACTGCTTCAGGAGGCACCCACGAGACATGGAGCTAACGTGACAGGCTCTTGTCCCAAACGTCGTTCGTCAAGGACACGCAGTGACCACTGTATGTCAGGACCATCGACAGCCAATGAGCAGACGCGCGACGTGGGATTGGAGCAAGGCAACACGAATGGAGTGAGTACAGCTCTGCCTTGCCGTCTCGTCACAGACAGGCAGAGCGGACAGATCATGATGTGGCCTTTTGCAATGCGATACGTCTAGGACTCTTCACTGCCATCCGAAGCCGACCGTACTCGTACAGTATGTACATGTATATGTTGCCGGAGTGATCCTGCCCCACGGCGCCAAGATGCCAGGATTTCGAATAACGCAAGGACCCTCTTGTAGTTTATCGATGGTATCGACGCGTCTTTGTCTCGCGCGTGTTTTTGAGCTCTAGCTTTGCATCGTCGAGGATCGTAGTATCTTTGGCTTGGATTGGTGTCGAGGTGACGTGCTTCGGATCGATTGCATTGCGGTGACCGCGGTTGCGTTGACGATCACCAACAACTCTAGTATGAAGGGCGACGCTGGCGATGCCAGCTCTTGCGCATCGCCCAACCGCCGGATAAGAAGAAAATGGCGCGTGAGCATGTTGTGACTGAAGTTCAACTTTATGGTGCAGCGAATGCGGTGCCGTAGGTTGACAGTAGGGAGCACGGACACGAAATGTGATCTCGGACGCGTCGACATGGTGCGCTTGATGTCAACGAGGCGCACGTCTCTGCGAAACGTGTGAATCAGCCGCGAAGTGCGGATCGTCCAGTCGTTCCGTCAGATTCGACGAGAAGTGGCTTGTGACCTTTGGGACAGCGACCGAGCTCTTCCACGGATGTGAGAGCGCGTTGACTCGATCTTCGACTCTTTGTCATGGAGCCAACTCAAGTACTTGCTCGCATACTGCAAGTATCCAACAGTTGACGAGCTATGCGCCACAGCTACATGGACTGAGGCTCGAGGCAATAGCCTCAGAATAGTCTTGCCCGAGGCTCAGCGCCGGCGATCAACACCAGAGTTATATGCAAGAGCAATTTTTGGTTTCAAAAGTCTCTGAAAAAGCAAAAATGAATGTTTGGTCGTAGCAAGCAATTTGTCGGTCGTGCGTCTGCTTAGGCGCCGACGTACGCAAAGAGGATGAGACTCAACGACATGAGTCCCATGCCGCCGAGGATCGCGATCGAGACCGCGTGGCCATCGGGGCAAAACTTGACGGCCGACGGAATCAGCTCCTTGATCGAGAGCGTCACCATCATACCCGTGACGATACCAAACATGATACCTTCCACGGACGGGTTGAGGCCGTCGCCGAGGATGAAGAAGGCGAGGATCGCGCCCAGCGGCTCGGCGAGCGACGACCCGCAGGCCCAGAAGAACGCCTTCCAGCGGCTGCCGGTCGCAAAGTAGACGGGCGTCGCGACAGCAATGCCTTCCGGGAGGTTGTGCAGCGCAATACCAATAGCCAGCGTGGCACCGACCTTGAGGTCGCGGACCGCCGCCGTGTACGTGGCCACGCCTTCCGGAAGGTTGTGGAGCGCAAGTGCGATCGCTGTGAGGACACCCGTGCGGTTCATGGCCGCCTTGTCCTTGTTGGCGAGCAAATCAATGTCCGCTTCGTTGTTTCTAGGCGTCACAAGAGGCATGTGGCCGTCGACGACCTGCTCGAGGCGCGAGAGATCCGCGACGTCGATCTCATCCTTGAAATCGGGCGAGAGGCGGTGCACGAGCGCATCGAGAATGTAGATGATGGCAGCACCGACGGCAAAGCAAATGTTGGTAAAGACCCACGCGTGACCTTCGCATGTCGGGTCGCACTCGCCGTTCTCATCCGCATTGCCAGCCATAAACTGCTCGACCGACTTGCCAAAGATTTCTACGAGCGAGATGAAGAGCATGACACCACCGGCGAGCGCAAGCGCGATCGAGAGGTTCTTGGCGTTGGCCATCTTGACCATGGACGCGCTAAAGATGACGAGACCGCCGATGCAGGTCGCGAACGCCGCTGCCCACGTGAGCGCAAAGGCGATGCCGACTTCCTTGGTGATTTCCGGCATTCTTCTTGTTGTTCGAGTTGTTGTTGATGGTGGTGGTGCCAAGAACGCGGAGAGTTGAAGAATGGGACAAGAAACGTGGCGCGCTAGGATCTATGTGTCCATCCATCGAACAACACGAACATTGCGTAGGTACGAGTGGTGTACGATGGCACAATACGCTGCCGCCCTCACGATACCTGTGCATGTCGAAAAAGGAACAAGTTGTCAAGATTCGAAAGTTGGAGACCGAATGCGGCCAATAAGAAATCACATGTCATTGGATTGGCTCGAGGCGACACGCAGCGGATACAGTGGGCACTAGTAACGGCAGTCGAAGCATACGTTTAGCTCGAGGTGTCGTGTCGGGTGTACATGGGAATCGTCAAGGCCGTTGTATTTTTCGTCCTCGAGAGTTGGTGGGAAATCGAGGCACGCGAGCTGCGACGCCAAGGTGTAGGCCGACGAGAAAATTCTGCGATGTGCTGCGCTGTACGGCAGGTCTATCGACGATTGCCCGGCAGGTATGACAATTATGTTTCTAGATTCTCACGAGCACTTTAGCTATGCTCTTTCGTTCCTGCTGGAAAAGGTCCCACGTGATTTAATGAGCAAGTGGCAGCAACACGAAGGTTGCCTTATGTGACCTGTAAAAGCGGTGCTGCAAGCAACGAATTCTCAAAAAGACTTACGCAGGATCTGCCAAAGGCTAGTATGATTGAAGTTGAGTCGCATTTTGTGATGCGAAAGGTCGCCTAGTGTGAGCATATGTTGACAACGTATGCCTTTGAAGTGGTTGTGATTGTCTAGATCTTAATCATCACTCTCACTGAGTGATGGTCTCTATGCCCGCGGTTAATTTCGTGGGCTGCATGATCACTTCAACGTCATCGCACCGAAAAAGAACCGGTACGTATCTGCTGACACTCGCCCGTACACAGTATTTCGTCGCGCTGCACCTTGGCTTCGCAGCTCGCGTGCCTCGATTTCCCACCAACTTTCGAGGACGAAAAACACGAAAGGCCTTGACGATTCCCATGTACACCCGACACGACGCCTCGAGCTAAACGTATGCTTCGACTACCGTTACTAGTGCCCACTGTATCCGCTGCGTGTCGCCTTGAGCCAATCCAATGACATGTGATTTCTTATTGGCCCCATTCGGTCTCCAACTTTCGAATCTTGACAACTTGTTCCATTTTCGACATGCCGGCGCACTGGTATCGTGAGGGCGGCAGCGTATTGTGCCATCGTACACCACTCGTACCTGCGCAATGTTCGTGTTGTTCGATGGACGCACACATAGATCCTAGCGCGCCACATCACTGGTCCCATTCTCCAACTCTCCACGTACTCGGCACCACCACCACCATCAACAACAACAACAACAACGAGAATGCCGGAAGTCACCAAGGAAGTCGGCATCGCCTTTGCACTTACGTGGGCCGCGGCGGCCGCGACCTGTGTCGGTGGTCTCGTCATCTTTAGCGCTTCCATGGTCAAGATGGCCAACGCCAAGAACCTCTCGATTGCGCTTGCGCTCGCCGGTGGTGTCATGCTCTTCATTTCGCTTGTCGAGATCTTTGGCAAGTCGGTCGAGCAGTTTATGGTTGGCAATGCCGATGAGAACGGCGAGTGCGACCCGACATGCGAAGGTCACGCGTGGGTCTTTACCAACATTTGCTTTGCCGTTGGCGCTGGTATCATCTACATTCTCGATGCGCTTGTGCACCGCCTCTCGCCCGATTTCAAGGACGAGATCGACGTTGCGGATCTCTCGCGCCTCGAGCAGGTCGTTGACGGCCACATGCCTCTTGTGACGCCCAGAAACAACGAAGCGGACATTGATTTGCTCGCCAACAAGGACAAGGCGGCCATGAACCGCACGGGTGTCCTCACGGCCATTGCACTTGCGCTCCACAACCTTCCGGAAGGCGTGGCCACGTACACGGCGGCGGTCCGCGACCTCAAGGTCGGTGCCACGCTTGCCATTGGTATTGCGCTGCACAACCTCCCGGAAGGCATTGCCGTCGCGACACCCGTCTACTTTGCCACTGGCAGCCGCTGGAAGGCGTTCTTCTGGGCCTGCGGGTCGTCGCTCGCGGAGCCGCTCGGCGCGATTCTCGCCTTCTTTATCCTCGGTGACGGCCTCAACCCGAATGTCGAGGGTGTCATGTTTGGCCTTGTCACGGGTATGATGGTGACGCTCTCGATCAAGGAGCTGATTCCGTCGGCCGTCAAGTTTTGTCCCGATGGCCACGCGGTCTCGATCGCGATCCTCGGCGGCATGGGACTCATGTCGTTGAGTCTCATCCTCTTTGCGTACGTCGGTGTCTAAGTAGCTTTCAAAGGTCGTTCGGATCGTTTTTGTAGCAGCCTCGACACTTATAAACTCTTAAAGATTATGTTTTGCGATTGCACCAACCTGAGCGACTCGAGAAGGACGTGGTTATGAATGGAAACGACCACCGTCCACCAAGCACCGGACTCTACACGTCTTTGCACGCACCAGTGTAGCAGTTTGGAGCGCGGTCGATCCGAGGACGACCTGCAGCGGCCGGCGGTGGCGACAGGACGGTCGCCAGCACTTTGGCTTCGTCAGAGTCGATCCACCGACAGACGTTGCTGAGCTCGAGGCGCTCCAGTCCGCGCAGCTCAAGCTGCGGTAGAATCGCCGCGAGCGCCTCGATATTGTATAGTCGCCGGCGCACTGCAGCGACCGAAGACGAACGACTCTAGCGCAACAGACGTGTTGAGCCATTCCATCATGAGCTGCGGGAGGGACACTTTCCACTGTGAGTA